TTAGAGCGGCTTTTAAAGCCTGGGATTGGATTGTTGATTCCGCTCCGCAGTTGCCGCCATGGTTTTCATACTAATATATATACATGTGACATTGCCTCCTTTTTCTTTCATTTTGCAACCCCCCCCTTCCTAAATTCCACCCCAAGATTGGCTGTCCTTTTCTCTTTTCTTTCCCCTCTTCCTTCCTTCCTTCCTTCCTTTCTTCTCCTCACCTCCTCCCTTCTGCTCACTGCTGCCCCTTAACAAGTTAATTTCATTAATGAATAATGCAGACAGGACAAAGGTTTGTCAGCTTTAACCTCTGCATTAGTTATAGAGATTAATGGCACTTGCCGTTCTGGCTGGTTAATGCTAGGAAGGCCGGCTGGGCTGAATGAAGTCTTTGGAGGCCTGGTGCTTTTGAACTCTCTTGGTTGGAGAATCTGTCTCCAAATCCACATTGGCCGCCTTCATGTCGCGTGTCCTTCTGAATTCATATGTTTACAATAGAGAGTATATTTTCGGCTGATTTGGTTCAGTGCTCGGAAGGGTAACCTTTTGAGGAGAAGACAACTCCCAGAATGCCCATAGTCCAAACTTCAGAAACCTCTTGGGATGCTGGGAATGGAACTGAGTTTCTCAATAAATAGTTTTCCCTTTTAACACTTGCAATCACCCACTTGTATCCTTGTTGTTCTGTGACTATTATTGGTCTATTGCAGTGGTTCCCAACCTTTTTTTGGCCAGAGACCATTTTGACCAGGGACCCTTTGACTAGGCACCACTCTCCAACATTAGTATCAAAACGGTTACAAGTGAAGAAAGAGCCAAGGAGATGTCCCTTCTTTGTCTCACTTGGTCTTGTTTCATTTTGGGACCATTCCTAAAACCCAGTGGTTCCCAACCTTTTTTGACCAGGGACCATTTTGACTAAGGACCACTTGACCAGGGGGCACTTGACCAGGGGCCACTCGACCAGGGACCATTTTGACCAAGGACCATTTTGACCAAGAACCACCCAACCTTTTGTTGACCAGGGGCCACTCGACCAGGGACCATTTTGACTAAGGACCACTTGACCAGGGGCAATTTGACCAGTGGGCACTTGACCAGGGACCATTTTGACCAGGGATTGCTTGACCAGGGACAATTTGACCAGGGGGCACTTAACCAGGGACCACTTCACCAGAGACCGTTTTGACCAAGGACCACTTGACCAGGGACAATTTTACCAAGGGCCACTTTGACCAGGGACTACTTGAAAAAGGACCACTTTGACCAGGGACCATTTTGACCAGGGACCACTTAAATAGGGACCATATTGACCAGGGAGCACTTTGTCCAGGGACCACTTTGACCAGGGACCACTTGACCAGGGACCACTTTGTACAGGGACCACTTGAATAGAGACCACTTTGACCAGGGAATGAATAAGTTTTTGGTCAACTTTAGATTCATTTTGGTTATTTGGGGTGCTGATTCAGAAAATTGCATTGGATAGACCACATCAGCTCTAGTTCTGATACAGAACATATGCCATCCAGTAGTTCACCATCTGCTCACCCACAGAAAACAATATTTAATAAGCTTTGGCACTATAAAAGGATTTCACAAGACCAGTTACTCTCATTGCAATGGTGTAGTAACGGTGAGGCCGTGGACCATATTTTAGTTCTTGTGGACTATTGGTGTCCATGGACCCCAGGTTGGGAACCACTGGTCTATTGGTACATCCACACTGTAGAGTTAATACCGTTTGACACCACTTTAACTACCATGGCTCTGTGATGTGAAATTATTGGAATTATAGATTTACGCACTCTTTAGTCCTTTCTATCAAATAAAGCTGGTGTCTCACCAAACTACAACTCAGATTTTGTAATATCTGTGTTTGCATATACATACAGAACCTCTTGGAAGTATGGCCCAAGACTAAACATGCAATTAATTATTGATTTGTGTGCACCAATGCTGAAGGTCAATTTATACATTATTTTAAATAATTTTATGCATGAACATTGTATACATTAAACCATCAGAAGGCAAAGACATCACTGTCTCAGCCTCCCATAGGTAATTTTAGATCTGGGAATATTTTTGATGTAGAATTTTGGAATAAGGGGTGCTCAACCTGCATATATGTTTCCTCTGAAGCTGCTGCATTTTGCAATTTTTAAAATGCATAGACTTGTGTACAGAAAGTATTAAACCAATTAGAATTTTTTAAAAATCAAGACGTTGCTGTTTGATTTCATTACTTTGTGGTACATCAAATGTTTTATTTACTTTGGCATCAAGAAAAGTGATGTAATCTTTGAATTTGCCTAAGATAGAACACACTTATCTCAACCCAATAAGGCACCATCAACAGATTCTGCATAAGATTTTTAAATTCTGTATTAGTGATGCTAAATCAGTCATACATGTCAACTAAGCTATGTATTTTTTCCAAAGGTTTGAAAACTATCCTTGCTAGAAAGTAATTTGACCAGGGGCCACATTGCAGAATACAGAAATGTCACATGTTTTCATCATACATAAGTTGGAGACAGAACTAGAGGGCTTTCATAGGTTTCCCAGTCCCCAAGGCCTCTAGGCCTGGTCCTTTTATGCTGCTAAACTTGGATAATATTGTAGGTTGAAAAGCCCCCAACTCACCTTTCCATTTCAGATCTTAATGGCAACACCATATTTGAATTTGAAGTTGCCAGCAGGACTTCCCAGTTGGAGTTCCAGCTCTGCTTGTCATCCTAGCAATCATAAATGGGGACTTCAGATAGTGAGTTGGAACTCAGTATCACATCCCCATCAGTTCAGTGACAACTTTGGAACAGACAGGGGAGGATCATATGTTAGAAAGTGTTGCTTTCAAGGGAAAGTGTACAAACGAGAGATGGTTAAGATGGAAATGGAACTAAGAAAACGGTATACTGAAACTCTCACTGAGAACCTAAAAGGAAGATCTATGTGAAATGATGAAAGAGACCTGGTGATGGTGGGACACCACTGTCTAGAATAATTGCTAATTCCAAGCAGAGCAGGCAATACAAAGTAATAGGTATACTGTTGAAGGCTTTCATGGCCGGAATCACTGGGTTGTTGTAGGTTTTCCAGGCTGTATGGCCATGTTCTAGAAGCATTCTCTCCAGACCTCACAACCTCTGAGGATGTTTGCCACAGATGCAGACGAAACTTCAGGAGGTAAGCTTCTAGAACATAGCCATACTGCCCAAAAAACCTACAACAACCCAAAGTAATACGTATTTGTGGTGATGGTGGTGTTGTTGTTCTTTCAAGTCGTTTCTGACTTATAGCGACCTAAGGTGACCTTATCACAGGGAGTTCAGGGGCTAAAAGTGTTTTACTCTCTCAAGGTCACTTACATGGCCAAATGGGAATTGAACTCTGGAATCATTGCACTACGCTGGCTCTTGAAGTATGTCTTAACATTTGACAATTCGATTAATTCACAGCAGTTCTCAATCTGTGGGTCCCCAGGTGTTTTGGCCAACAACTTCCAGAAATCCTAGCCAGTTTACCAGCTGTTAGGATTTCTGGAAGTTGAAGGCCAAAACATCTGGGAACCCACAGGTTGGGAACCACTGGATGAATGGATCTAGTTAGTAAGAATTAACCATTGGATTAGTCTGGGAGTAAGAATTGTCTGGCCTTCTAGATATTGTTGCATATCCCAGTAGTTCTGGCCAGCCTGGGCAATGGTCAAGAATAGTAGGAATGATAGTCCAACAATATCTAGAGGGCTAGACAACTGCTTTCTCTGATTGAGACCTTTATTTATTTGTTTGTTTGTTTGTTTTCTGTATTTGTATTCCGCCCTTCTCAGCCTGCAGGTGACTCCACAATACAGCTCACAGTTGAATATAATGGAATAATTTCCAGTCTCAAAAGATCCCCAAATACAAAGACGTAGATGGGTTTAGATGCTTAAAAAATAAAGGGGATGATTCCAAGCAACTTCCCATATTCATATTCAGCCACAAATTGGGATTATTCCATACTGAATAGAGAAACACTAAATCAACCATCTGGTGTGAGGTTAACTATTTTCTTGATGTGATTGACCTTCCTTCCATGTGACGACAGTCAAATAGAGAGCATGACTCCTGTTGTGTGAGTTCATGAACATAATTTCAGGATCTAAAGCAGTGATTCCCAACTTTTTTTTTTTGACTAAGGACCACTCTGACCAGAGACCACTCTCCAGCATTAGTACCAAAAGAGTTATGAATCAGTTTTTGGTCAACTTTAGATTCGGTTTGGTTATTTGGGGTGCTGATTCAGAAAATTGCATTGGATAGATCACATCAGCTCTAGTTTCCAATATAGAATGTATGCCATCCAGTAGCCATCTGCTCACCCACAGAAAATTATATTTAATAAGCCTCAGCATTATAAGAGGGTTTTGCGACACCAGCCACTCTTGTTGGAACAGTGTACTAATGGTGAGGGTGTGGATCATATTTAAGTTCTTGCAGACCACTAGTGGTGCATGGACCACAGGCTGGGAACCACTGATCTAAAGAAACCGGAGCTAAATCTCTTGCCACCAGCACTCAGACAGTTAGTTCAAGTATGGTCAGCCATAGCACAGTCATATGCTTACTTACTCAGTGTAATTCAGTGGGACTTGTCTTCATTGTAAGTAACCCCAGAGGAAAGCAAAGGCAACGTTCAACTGAACCGATCTTGCCAGGCTAGCCACAATAAGGTAAAAACAAAGTAATGGAGGCACACAGCAACATCAACAAAGATGAAGGGATTGTAATGGATCATACTCTGCAACTCTTAGGGTCACTGCTTGGGGATATTGGGAACTGTTGTTTAAAAAGGCAGCTTTCCCAAATCCTAGGTGAGAGCTTCAGACACAGGACCAGGAAAGAATATTGGCCTCACCGTGGTTTCCCAGTTGTAAGGAATGATATGCTAAATGATTTATAATTAAAGGCTATTAAAAATAAATTGCTTGTCTTCCTCACTTGTCTTCCCCTTCTCTGTTTCAGAATGATAACTGATGGTGAAGACCTCTCAGAGGCTTTCTGACTTCCTCTCCCCATGTGAAGTATGCTGAGAACCTTTCCAGTGCTGTAAGTATGCCAGCTGCCATTTCCCCTATACATATTCAAAAGCTTAAGTATGCATAATCCTATAAATTGGCAGAAGACTGTTGACCTGGGGGTCTCCTGCTGCTATTAGGATGTTGGCTAAATAGTTACAAGAGGTGCATAGCCTCTTTCGGTCCCACTTCATATGAAGCCGCTTTGGTGGTTGCTAATTTTGCAAAAGTGTAGTAGTGACTCTGGATCCCTTTCACAAAGATTTATCATTAGTTCCAACAGGACTTTTAAAATGTTTTTAGAGCAGTAGTAGCACACTGAGGTTCTTAAAGTGGTTTTCCTGCCCATGGCCTATCTAGATTGCTCTAGACAACTACTTTTCAGGCCAAAAGGATGACCCCTCCTAGAAGCCACCAGGAGAAACAATTTCCAAAGTCAGAGATCAAATTCTGGAAACCTTTGCTTTTGTCTTGATGTTGTTTTGGACTTTTGATGTTATGAGTAGTCTGTATGAATGTCAGAAGGTCTGATGGACAGTAAATGAGGCCCTAGGAACTTTACAGTTGCCCACCTTTGCTCTAAGTCTAAAACAATGGTTCCCAACCTTGGCTTGGAGTTCCTAACTGTAAGATCTCATATAAGCATATAGTTGGAAAAGATAAGGGCCATCCAGTCCAGCCCCATTCTGCCATATGGGAACACTCAATCAAAGCAACCCTATAGGTGGCCATCCAACATTGGGAACAATTGCTTTAGGACAGGAATGGGAAACTGTAGGAGGCAGCATTAGCCACCCAGGAAAGTCTGAAGACCTGTATACCTACCACAGACCCCGTAAAACATAATTATCCCCTCCTCCCAGATGCCACTAAACATCTGCTGGGAGCCATGGTGGCATTTTGCCATGTTTGTGTCCTCTCCAGACCAATTTCAGGAGCACACCTTTCCAACGAGAAATTGTTTCCTGATCATTTTCTGTTTCAAAAAAGGCCTCCGTTGTTGGGCTATTTGTAAAAATGTGGGGAAATGCTCCTGCACTGTTTGGAGGGCACTTGAGAGCACTCTGGAGTTTGCTAGCTAGGACATTGGTGGCATTGGTCCTTTAGGCAGGTTTCATGGGTCCTAAGGCGTACCAGAGATTTAGAACTTTTCAAAGTTTTGCAGTGGAACCTAGGGGAAAAAGTGCACTTTTCTTAAAACCCATATGTTTAAAAAGGGGAAGATTGTGGCAGAACAATCCTTTTTGTTCCTAATCTGGAACACTTTGCCACCAGAAGTTCTTGCCTTGCGGGACTTATCAGCCTTCCGCAGGGCTTGTAAGACATATTTGTTTCAACAGGTTTTTGACCTTTGATCTGTTGTTTTAATTTTTGTTAGATTCCAATTTGTTTTGTAAGCCGCTCCGAGCCCTAGGGGAGTGGTGCCATATAAGTTTGAATAATAAATAAATAAATCATCTGTATAGTTCATTTTTGTTCCTTGGGTCATAGCTTCTCTATGGATATGTAGAATGTTAGTGAATATTTCTATTCTTACCATCACAGTATGTTGGTCTTTGCAAATGAGTGGCAACTATTTTTTTTTTTAGGTTGTTCTGTGTGTTTCCAGGCTGTATGGGCATGTTCCAGAAGCATTCTCTCCTGACGTTTTGCCTGCATCTATGGTAGGCATCCTCACAGGTTGTGAGGTTCTCACAACATCTGAGGATGCCTGCCATAGATGCAGGCGAAACGCCAGGAGGGAATGCTTCTGGAAACATGGCCACATAGCTCGGAAAGCACACAACAACCCAGTGATTCCAGCCATAAAAGCCTTCAACAACACATTTTTAATTTTATTTTTCTAATTTTGGATATTTGAAATAGTTAATTATATCTGCAACCTGATTAAAGAAATCTGATAAGATTGATCACATGCACTTTAGTCGATTTTATTAGTCTGGTTGAATTTGGATATACGTAGGACGGATGGTCATGATTTCTTGTTAGATTAGGCTTTTTTGTTTTAAAACAGGGGCAAGCAGTGGTTGTCATCAGGATGTTGCTGGAATGTAAGTCCCATCAGCCCTAGTGAGTGCAGGCAATGTTCAGGTATGATGGAAGCTACAATCCAACAGCAACAGATAGACACAATTTCTTATCCCTGTTTTAGAGGCATTCATCTTCCATGTGGGAAAACAGGTGAAAGGCAGAGCATAAATAAAACTGCTAATAACAAGAATAAAAACAACACTAATACTTCATCTTTTGCATTTTCTAATTTTTGCAAGCACCTGCATTCAAAATGTTGAGTGTTTTTAATGTGGGGACTAAACGTTCCAGCCGTAGCAAAAAATTGAAATGCTTTGTTCTTGAAATGTTGTCATGAGGGTTTTCTTGAAAGGGGAGCCTCTTACTGCAGATGTTTCTACTTGAGAAGAATTATTAAATTAAGAGTCCACCAGGAATGGGAATTGTGAAGCTCTTCAGAAGTTCTTGAACTGAGGCCCCCAATGCTGAAAGAGCATCGGAGTTGCAGTCAACCAGTGCTTGGAAGCTGCACTGTTATCACTCCTCCACTAAAACGTGATTAAGGAGCATTAACGATGGCATGGTGTGATAACTGAATTGCTAGCTATGGTTTGCAATTAGCCATCCAACCATTGGGGTGGTTTCATGTCTGATGTTGATCCTACTAGTTGGTTTCATGCCTGTTATTGACCTTACAAGCTGGCTTCATGTCTGATGTTGACTCTACTAGCTGGTTTCATGGTCAGATTGACGGGACCAAAATTCCAGTTGTTATTTTACCTTTGGAGAATATTCCACCTTAGAAAATTGGCCATTGTGTAGAAAACCAAAGCAATCAAAATACCCTTAATTGTATTTTGCGGATAAGATGAAAAGGTCAAGCAAACTGGGAGCTCTGAAGTCTGGTTTCCCTCTTATACAAATATGAAGCTCCACTGATGATTAGCACTCTAAACTCACAAGTTACCACAAACCATGGTTTGGTGCACGTCTGAACTGAGCTTCTGTCTGGAGTAATTGTTTCTCACAAGTACTTGGAACCCTGCTTGCATTCGGCGGCTGAAGGACTTGAGGACACTCGCAAGAATTAATGTCTTGCCATTCCATTCTTGGCCTGGCTTGTGTAAGTCGTGTGGCGGCGAGCATTTGATTATGCTGGATTTATTTTCAGACGTCTCGGGCTGTTCTTATTAACTGTCATCACTTTGATCGAAAGTCCGCGGCGGGTTTCTGCATTTGGAGCGTCCCGCTTTGCATTCCTAAACAGACGCGGCAGAGTTGCAGCTGGGCGGGCCTTTTTTTTTTGCCTCGTGACTGGAGCAATTTTAGCTTGGATGTTGCCAGGCCTGAACAGTAAGGCAAAGAGGCTCCTGTGCATAGATTGAAGGGGGCAAAGGTAGAAGATGACCGGCACCTGAGCCTAAACCAGGAAATAGGTGCACCAAAGCTTTGACTCCAGCACTGACTGTTCCATTCGTATTTTCCTACAATCTCTCCATAAATAGCAAATGTATAACAATTAGTAGGAGGAGATAGTATGGTATAATGGTTTGAATGTTGGCCTATAACACCAGAGTTTGAATCCTTGCTTGGCTATGAAATCCACTGTGTGACCTTGGGCAGGAAGACAGTGGCAAACTTATTCAGAGCAGTGACAAGGTCACCGTAGGTTTAAAACTTTGCCTGAAGACACACAACCATCAGATAAGTCATCAGGCTTATCTGATGATTAGTCAAAATGTATTTGACTAACATATCCAAGAAGATAATGATGCTGGCTTAGAGAGCCGGATAGGTTTAGCTTGGTGAAAAGAAGGTGAAGAGGGTTTAGATGAGCATTTCTCAACCTGGGGGTCAGGACCCCTAGAGGGGGGTCATGAGGGTGTGTCAGAGGGGTTGCCAAAGATCATCAAAACACAGTTTTCTGTTGGTCATGGGACTTTTGTGTGGGAAGTTTGGCCCAATTCTATCGTTTGTGAGGTTCAGAATGCTCTTTAATTGTAGGTGAACTATACATCCCAGCAACTACAGCTCCAAAATGTCAATGTCTGTTTTCTCAAGCTCTACCAGTGTTCACATTTGGGCATATTGAGTATTCGTGGCAAGCTTGGTCTAGATCCGTCATTGTTTGAATCCACAAAGCTCTTGGATATAGGTGAACTAAAACTTCAAAACTCAAGGTCGATGCCCACCAAACCCTTCTATTTATTTATTTAATTCATTTAAAACTTTTATATCCTGATCTTCTCAACCTCAGTAGAGGGACTCAGACCAGCTAGAGGGGTGATTTGAATGCAATATTCCTGCTTCTTGGCAGGGGGTTGGACTGGATGGCCCATGAGGTCTCTTCCAACTCTATGATTCTATGACTCTATGATTCTATGACTAGTATTTTCTGTTGATCATGGGAGTTCTGTGCGCCAAGTTTGGATCAGTTCCATCATTGGTGGAGTTCAGAATGCTCCTTGGTTGTAGGTTAACTATAAATCTCAGCAACTACAACTCCCAAATGACAAAATCACCGTCCGTCCCCCGCAAACCCCACCAGTATTCAAATTTGGGTGTATCAGGTATTTGTGCCAAATTTGGTCCAGTGAATGAAAATACATCCTGCATATCAGATATTTACTTTATGATTCATAACAGTAGCAAAATTACAGTTATAAAGTAACAATGAAAATAATTTTATGGTTGAGGGGGGTCATCACAAGATGAGGAATTATATTAAGGGGTCACAGCATTAGGAAGGTTGAGAACCACTGGTTTAGATGTTTAAATATTTGAAAGGATGTCATCTTGAGGAATGAGGAAACCTATTCTCTGCTGATCTAGACACTTAGATATGAAGCAGTAGATTCAAACTCCAGGAAAAGATATTCCACCTAAACGTTATGAAGAACTTCCTGAGTGTAAGAGCTGGTCCCATAAGTGGAAGACATTGACCCCATGAGCCATCCAGTTCAAATCCCTACCATGCAGGAATGCCCAATCAAAGCAAAAAAGATCTTGGAGTCCTCGTGG